ATGGGCGCTGGATTCTGTCCCGGTTGCTCCTCTTCCAGGCCAGCTCTCTGCTGTGGCCCCAGAGGGCAGTGGAGGATGGCCCAAGTGTTTGGGCCCTGCACCCGCATGGGAGACCAGGAGGACGCACCTGGCTCCTGGCTTCCAATTGGCGCAGCACCAGCCATAGCAGCCATTTGGGTGGTGAACCAACGGAAGGAAGACTTTTCTCTCTGTCTCTCTGTCTCTCTCTCACTGTCTAACTCTACCTGTCAAAAAAAAAAAAAAAAAAAAAAAAAAAAAAGAACTACAGAGATGAGAACTGAAGACATGCCCCACTAGGCCCCGATTCCCAGTCACACTACCCTGGGGAGCGAGCCTTTAACACCTGAGCTTTTGGGGGGAACATTCAGCATCCCACGCTTAGCATTCTGCTTCTGACTCCCAAAGGTTCTTCTGCATCTCAAAATGCAAAATTCATTCATTCCATCCCCAAGAGTTCCAAGTCTTAATAACCCAGCATCATTTAAAAGTCGAAGTCCAGAGTTTTATCTGAGACTCAAGTAAGACTTCTGTAGCCGTAAGCTCCTGTAAAATCAGACAAGTTACGTACTTCCAAGGTGCAGTGGTGAAACAGGCCCAAGATAAACCTTTCTATTCCCAAAGGGAGTAATAGGGAAATGGAAGGGTGGATGATCCAAATCCTAAACGGTCGTGAGGGCTGGGTCCCCAAGGCTTTGTCTGCTTGTCCCTACAGCTTGACTGGCTGCAGCCCACACTGCTGAATGTTGTTTGTTGCTGGTTACTCTGTATTCCTGGGGTCTACTTCTCGGCTTCCCTCTCATAGCTCCACGAAGCATCATCCCATCAGGAATCCCCATGGGGGCAGGCATTTGGTACTGTGGTTAAGACACTGCTTGGGATATCTGCATCCCATATCATCAGGATGCCTGGGTTTGAGCCTCAGTTACCCTTGCATTTCTGGCTTCCTGCTAATGTGCACCCTGACAGGCAACAGTTGATAACTCAAGCAGTTGAACCCTTGCCACCAGTGGGAGACCCAGATTGATTTTCTGGCTCCTGGCTTCAGCCTGGCACAGATCCAGCTTTTGAGGCATTTGGGGAATCTATATCTGTGTGACTGTCTCTCTATCTTTTAAATCAATTAAACAAAAATAAATAATAAAACACTGGTTGAAGCCACACTGACCACATGCTGCTTGCATGGCCTGCATCTGGCCTGGCCTGAGCCAGGAGCTACATTGGGCTGTGAGTACTCTGCTGCCAAGCCAGAGTCTGGACCTGGCCCTCCCAGAGCAGAGTGCCTCTTTCTTGAAAGGAGTGTGAAAAGAAAGAAAGAAAGAAAGAGAGAGAGAGAGAGAGAGAGAGAGAGAGAGAAGGGGAGGGGAGGGGAGGGGAGGGGAGGGGAGGGGAGGGGAGGGGAGAGGAGAGGAGAGGAGAGGAGAGGAGAGGAGAGGAGAGGAGAGGAGAGGAGAGGAGAGGAGAGGAGAGGAGAGGGAAAAAGGAAAAAAAAAAGAAACAGAAAAAAGGAGTGTGCCATGGGAGATCCTCTGAACCTGAGATGGGAGTGGCTGCTGCCTCTGGGATGCCCTTAGGCATCTTTCCTGTTAACCCTTTGCCAAGCACCCTGCTCTTTATCAGAGCTAATCTCTCAGCCACTCAACGGCACCCTTGGGTGCGTGATTACAGATTTTTAGACTCCTTTCTTGGTCAGGCTTCATACTTTTCACATTTTTTCTTCATTCTGTTCCTTTTTGATCCTGATTCTTACTATAAATTTTTGTCTTAAAGATTTATGTATTTATTTGAAAAGTCAATTTAAGAGAGAGAGATCTCCATACCTTCATGGAGTTCCTGATTGGATGATGCACAGTGGAGCTATGAGAGGGAAGCCGAGAAGCAGACCCCAGGAATGTAGAGTAACCAGCAGCAAACAACATTCAGCAGTGTGCCATTTGGGGGGTGAACCAACAGAAAGGAAGACCTTTCTCTCTGTCTCTCTCTCTCTCTCTCTCACTGTCTAACTCTGCCTGTCAAAAAAAAAAAAAAAAAAAAAAGATTTATTTAGGGACCAGTACTTCAGCACAGTGGGTTAAGCTGCTCTCTGAAGTGCTGGTGTCCCATGTGGGCGCCAGTTCGAGTCCCAGTGGCTCTACTTTTGATCCAGCTCTCTGCCAATGCACCTGGAAAGGCAGCTGAGGATGGCCCAAGTCCTTGGGCCCCTCCACCCACATGGGAGACCTGGATGAAGCTCTGGGCTCCTTTCTTTGGCCTGACCCAGCCTTGGTCGTTGCAGCCATTTGGGGAGTAAACCAGTGGTTGGAAGCTATCTCTGTCTGTCTCTCTCTGTAACTCTACCTTTCAAATAAATAAGTACATCTTTTTAAGAAAAAGATTTATGTACTTTAGAGGCAGATTGACAGAGAAGGAGAAGGTGGGGAGAGAGAGAGAGCAAGTGAGAGCAAATGAGAGGTAGCTTCTATCTGCTGGTTCACCTCCCAAATGGCTGCAATGGCTGGGAATGGGCCAGGCCAAACGTGAACCTGGAACTCCATCCAGACATCCCACATGGGTAGCAGGTACCCAACTACTTGAGCCATCTTCTGCTGCCTTCCCAGACATATTAGCAGGGAGTTGGATTGGAAGTGAAACAGCCTGGACTCCAGCCCGTGTTCCGATATGGGATGCTGGTACCTCATAGCAGTGTCTTAACCTGCTGTGCCTCAGTGCCCACCCTGCTTTATTTTTCTTAAAATATGTGTCATAACTTAAGTGATGTTCTTTGGTGTTCCTGCTAATTAGGCTAATCTAAGCTTGATTGTTTTTCTGTGAGCAGCTTGAAATTATATATATTAAATAGTATTTTCTTTTTTTGACAGGCAGAGTGGACAATGAGAGAGAGAGACAGAGAGAAAGGTCTTTCTTTTGCTGTTGGTTCACCCTTCAATGGCTGGCGCAGCTGGCGTGCTGCGGCCGGCGCACCACACTGATCCGAAGGCAGGAGCCAGGTGCTTTTTCTGGTCTCCTATGGGGTGCAGGGCCTAAGCACTTGGGCCATCCTCCACTGCACTCCCGGGCCACAGCAGAGAGCTGGCCTGGAAGAGGGGCAACCGGGACAGAATCCGGCACCCCAACCGGGACTAGAACCCGGTGTGCCGGCACCGCAGGCGGAGGATTAGCCTATTGAGCCGTGGCGCTGGCCTTAAATAGTATTAATTTGGCTTTTAGCTACCCATAGATGATGGATACATTACTGTTCTAATTCTGAGAATTGTTATTAGTCATCTCTGTGTTTAATTGACTGGTTGCTGGAATTTTATCATGCTTGGATTTTGCTGACTTTCTAAACTATAGAAGAGGGAGTGGGCATTTGGTGCAGTGTTAAAAGATTGCTGGCGGCCGGGGGCAGGGGAAGTGGTGCTGTGTCGTAGCAGGTAAAGCTGCCACCTGCAGTGCCAGAATCCCATATGGACGCCGGTTCGAGACCTGGCTGCTCCACTACTTATCAGCTCTCTGTTTTGGCCTGGGAAAGCAGTGGAAGATGGCCCAAGTCCTTGGGCCCCTGCACCCACATGGGAGACCCAGAAGAAGCTCCTGGCTCCTGTTTCTGGATAAATGCAGCTTCAGCTGTAGCGGCCAATTGGGGAGTGAACCAGCAGATGGAAGACCTCTCTCTCTCCTTCTCTCTTTGTGTAACTCTTTCAAATAAAGAGAGAGAGAGAGACAACTTGGAAAGACTGGTGCTGTGGCATAGCAAGTAAAGCTACTACCTGCAATGCTAGCAGGCATCCCGGCTCTGGTTTGCCTACCGGTTACTCTACTTCTAATCCAGCTCTCTGCTGTAGCCTGGAAAAGCAGTGGAGGATGGCCCAAGTCATTGGGTTCCTGCATCCACATGGGAGAGCCAGAAGAAGCTCCTGGTTCCTGGCTTCAGATCGGTGCAGCTCTGGCAGCTGTAGACATTTGGGAAGTGAACCAGCACATGGAAGAACTCTCTGCCTCTGCCTCTGCCTCTCTCTCTCTCTCTGTAACTCTACCTGTGAAATAAATAAATAAATAAATCTTTAAAAAAAATAGAGAGAGACAGAGAAAGAGACTGTTTGGGAGCTGGCATTTTGGCCCAGTGGGTTAAGCCACCGCCTGAGACCCTGGCATCCCATATCAGAGTTCCACTTTGAGTCCTGTCTGCTGCACCTCCTGTCCAGCTCCCTGCTAATGTGCCTGGGAAAGCAGTGGAAGATGGCCCAAGTACTTTGATCTCTGCCACCTACATGGGAGGACCAGATTGGGTCCCTGACTCCTGGCTGTGTCCTGCTGCCTTCCAGCATACATATCGGCAGGAAGCTTTATCAGAAGCGGGACCAGGGCTCCAATCCAGGGCTCCAGTAGGGGTTGTGGGTGTCCTAAGAGCAATGTAACCACTGTGTGTTTCGATTTTTGTGTTATGGAGAAGGTGAAGAAAATAGGATTAAAAATGTGATTTTCCATTGTTACAGATGTGCCATGACTGGTAAAAGTTTTAAGGAAACAGTAATATAAAGTAGAACTCTTCAGAGGAATATTTTGAGATCTGAAGGCTTTATCACCGATCTTTTGTATAAAATTGTTTGCAGCACAATTGTTTGGAAAGAATATTCTATCTCAGGCAGGCTGCTTATTACTGTGTGACTGTAGGCATGTCATGACTTTTGTGAGGTAAATATTCCATCTACTGTCAAGGGATGTGGGCAGTGCTAAATGAGGTGGTATGACTGCAATTGATATTTTATGTTATAAACATCTGCTATCAGCAGCTAGAATGACAATAAAAAAAGAAAATTAGATATATTAATTTATGTTTAATATTCCCTATAGTTCATTGTGCTAAAATCTTTTATGTTGCAATCCAAGAAACAAGACATAGAGCTGTTTAGGTAGATTGAAGATGGAGGAGATTCTGGCCTTTTGTTGTTTCTTTTTTCTTAATGTTTCTTGTTTTTTTTTTTCTCCACCTGCTTTTCCAGGCAAAGAGTGTGTCCAGCAGTTAGCTGAAAACACCAGGTACTTCAGGAGACGCCTGAAAGAGATGGGCTTCATCATCTATGGAAATGAAGATTCTCCAGTGGTGCCTCTGATGCTCTACATGCCAGCCAAAATAGGGTACGCCTCTCACTGGTCGTAAGATCTGTGATGGAAGATCAGGGCCTGTGTACTTTGTTGGGGAAAACTGTCTCGTCCTCATTGTGTTAACCTTCATTTTCTAGATAGGACATAGTTCCATAGAGGCTTCCAGATTGCAAAATGGGTTCACTTGTCAGTCTTTCATTTCACAAACATTTAAGTTTGGTACATTCTTACGAGGTTTGGAATCTATCACTGCACAAAACACAAATATCAAGAGTCAGACATGAATAAGTAGCTTATGTCAGAAGGTGCTAAGTGCTATGGAAAAAAATTTGAGAAGGACATAGAGGATTGAGAGTGCCTTGTCCATGGGCAGGTAACAGTGCCAAGTGGGTTGTTGGGGTGAGCCTCGTTAGAAAGAGAAGGTGACATCTGAGCAAAGACTGGGAGGAGCTGAGAGAGCCATTGGAGAAAGAAGCATCTGTGCAGAGGCCACAGTGCCGGCCCCTGCTTGGTGGTGGGAGACCAGCGAGGCAGTCCCTGGAGCTGGTGCACAGTGCCCAAGGCACCTTGGGCCATGAGGTCTGAGAAGTTATCGCAGGGCATGTTGTTTGCTATTTTCCAGATGTCCTGACTACACCAGTTTCTTTGTTCAAGGCATAAGTAATAGAAAGCCGTGCCTTGGATAGTTTTCACTGTATTTGAGAAATCCAGATATATAATGAAGCCAGCAGACATTTGAGGAGCAGGTAGACAATAATTATATTGAGAAGTATGAGGATACTTCAGAATGTTTGTGGAAAATCCATGCTTTTAATTCGATTTGTCCACAAACTTCTTGAAGTACCTGCATGTAATTATAAGCAAAATTGCACTGGAGATGTAGAATATAAAGCAGTGACCTGCTCAGCATAGGCATAGTAAAGAAGGTACATCTTTTTAAAGGGGGAGTTTTGAGGTATATCTTAAATATAAAATTGGTAGGGACCAGCATTATGGTGTAGCGGGTAAAGCCGCCACCTGCAATGCCAGCATCCCATGTGAGTGCCAGCTTGTGTTCCAGCTGCTCCAGTTCTGATGCAGCTCCCTGCTAATGTCCTGGGAAACAGCAGAAAATGCCCCAAGTACTTGGGCCCTTGCCACCCCTGTGGGAGACCCAAATGGAGTTCCTGGCTCCTGGCTTTAGTGTGGCCCAGCCCTGGGTGTTGTAAATATATAGGGAATAAACCAGAGGATGGATACTCACTCTCTCTCTCTCTCTCTCTCTCTCTCTCTCCATTTCAAGTAAATAAATCCTTAAAAATATGTAAATTTGGGGCCGGTGTTGTGGCCTGATGAGTTAAACCACCGCCTGTGTTGCCAGCATCGCATATGGGCACCCCACTGCTGATTCACCTCCCTGCTAATGCGCCTGAGAAAGCAAAGGAAGATGACCCAAGTACTTGGGCCCCTGCACCCAAGTGGGAGACCCAAATGAGTCTCCTGGCTCCTGGCTTTGGTCTGGCCCAGCCCTGACCATTGTACCTATTTGGGGAGTGAACTAGTGGGTAGAAGGTTTCTCTCTCTCTCTCTCTCTCTCTCTCTCTCTCTCTCTCTCCCCCCCCTCCCCCCCTCCCCCCCTCCCCCTCTCCCCCTCTCCCCCTCTCCCCCTCTCTCCCTCTCCCCCTCTCCCCTTCTCTCCCTCTCCCCCTCTCCCCTTCTCCCCTTCTCTCCTTCTCTCCCCTCCCTTCTGTTTCTGTACATAGCCCTTCAAATAAATCTTTAAAATAAATAAATAAATTTTAAAAGTCACTGGATCTGGAGGACTCAGTTTAGGACCCTTTTTTGAAAACCTCCCTCCCAAAAAAAAAAAAAAAGTAATTTGAAAGACAGAGGAAGATACAGAGAGATCATAGATCTGCTGGTTCACTCCTCAAATGGCTGCAACAGCTGGGTCTTAACCAGGCCAAAGGCAGGAGCTGGGAACTCCACACAGGTCTTCCACTGAGTAGCGAGAACCCACGTACCTGGGCCATTACCTGCTGCCTCCTGGGCACACTGACCCAAGTGTGGAGTAACTGGCACTCAAAGCAGGCACACTGAGCATCCCAAGCTGTGGCATAAGCGCTGTGACATGATGCCTGCCCCCTGGAGTCCTCTTTAGACAAGGCTGTGCCAAATCATTTTACACCAGTGAAGCTGTCTCTGTGCTATCATCAGCTAAGATTTAGAGAGGTTAAGGAAGTGCAATGAAACAGGAGAGAGTGTGGGAGCCTCTGCTGCAGATTCACTCCGGTTCATCCTGACACAGGTGAAGTGCACTGGGGAAGGTGTTCTGAGGCTGAGCAGATGCCATTAATGCTGTGCCAGAAAATGCTGTAAACAGCTTATGGGGAAAGTCCAAAAGAAATGAGATAGGTCAATAGTGGGGAAGACTGAGAACAATGTAGTTTAGTTAACAAAGTGAAAGTTAGAATATGTTCTTCAGCAAGATACGTTTGTGGAGTGAGGCCACAGGCCACCAGTTTGGCCAGGAGTGGAGGTTGTTGATGAATTGTCTAGGCTGGTAATCAGCAGACGCAGGGCACGAGCTGGCCTGAGCAACCCAAGGGCAGCCAGACTTGCAGAGGCAGCCTTGCTCCCAACCCCATCAGAGACGTTCGTCTGGAGGGCTAACACTGCTCAGCCGCTCTGCAGGAAGAGGTCCACGTTACTGCAAATGCTCTGTCTCCTCAGAATCCTGCAAATGCTGTAACCTGCCGAGTGTCATGATTCAGGTTCCTTTTGAAGCTTCTGAACCACTGTTACACATCAGGAGCTTTCTTAAGGTGTCATCACAGCTCTCGAGGCAAGCCCATTCAGACTGGTCTCCACCAACGATATTCTTTCTCCTGTGTGAAGGACACCATAGGGGAAAGCACTATCTTAGTCTTGAATAAAAGCACTTTTGGTGAACTGTCAATTTTTAAAAAAATTTATTTATGTTTATTTGAAAGAAGGAGTTACAGAGAGGGAAAGGCAGAGGCAGAGGGAAATCTTCCATCTACTGGTTCACTCCCCAAATGGCTGCAAAGGCCAGGGCTGGGCCAGACTGAAGCCAGAAGCCTGGAGCTTCTTCTGGATCTCCCATGTGGGTGCAAGGGCCCAAGCACATGAGCCATCCTCCATTGCTTTTCCAGGCGCAATAGCAGGGAGCTGGATTGGAAGTTGAGCAGCCAGAACTCTGACTGGCACCCATATGGGATACCAGTGCTGCAGGTGATGGCTTAATCCACTTCGCCACAGCACTGGCCCCTGTGAACTGTCCATTTTAACTTAAAAATATGTAAACTTGGGGCTGGTGTTGTGACGTGATGTAGCAGTTAGAAGAAACTCCTAGAAAGTCTCCAGTGCCCACATCATCAGAAAGATTAAATCATTCAGCACAGCAAGACCTTTGTACTGTGTGATTTATTCCTCTCCTGGTTTCTTTTCCCTCTGTCTTCTTGCAGCGCCTTTGGACGGGAGATGCTGAAGCGGAACATCGGTGTAGTTGTGGTGGGATTTCCTGCTACTCCAATTATAGAGTCGAGAGCCAGGTTTTGTCTGTCAGCAGCTCATACCAAAGAAATACTAGATACCGTGAGTAGAAAATTTCACTTTCCTAAACGTATGCTTTGTTCTAAAAGTGCCTGTTTATCAGATGAAATTAATCATCTCTTGGTCATAATGGTTAGTACCCACCTGTTCGCAGGTGAAATCAGCCATCTGTTGATCCTGATGGTCTTCAAGCACCTGAGATACTTACTGGTAATACAGAGCAGATCATCACAATGCTACTGAGAACTGGCGTTTTTACAAAAATCATTGCAAAATTCTCAGCATCAGCCTTAAGACCAAGCATCACCAGAGCGCCGGAGAATTTTCCAGCTGCTTCTTGTTCCACCCTGAGGGACCTCGTTATGGACTCTACAACTGAGCAGCTCTCGTTCTCCTCCAGCTTCTCTGACGTTGTTCTGTCCCTACAGTTTTCTCCCATGAGCCTCTCCCTTTTCTCCACATCTCCACTTGCAGGAAACCTTCTGGGTCACTCCCAGTCTTGTTGCTGGGCTTCTCTTCGAATCCTAAGATTCTTCTGTAGTAAATTCTTTTTAAAAATAGTTTTATTTATTTATTTGAGAGGCAGAGTTGCAGAGGCAGACACAGAGAGAGAGAGAGAGGTCTTGCATCCTCTGGTTCACTCCCCAAATGGCTACAAAAGCCGGAGCTGGGCCAATCCAAAGCGAGGAGCTTGGCGCTTCTCCCAGGTCTCCCAGTGCAGATGCAGAGGCCCAAATACTTGGGTCATCTTCTATTGCTTTCCCAGGTGAATTAGCAGGGAACTGGATCAGAAACAGGGCAGCCAGGACTCAAATCTGTGCTCATATGGGATGCCAGCATTGAAGGCCATGCATGGCTTAACTTGCTGTAGCACATCACTGGCCCGGGTTTGTTTGTTTGTTTGTTTTTTAAGATTTATTCATTTATTTGAAAGTCAGAGTTACACAGAAAGAGAAGGAGAGGCAGAGAGAGAGAGGGGCTTCCATCTGCTGGTTCACTCCCCAACTGGCCACAATGGCCAGAGCTGCGCCAATCCGAAGCCAGGAGCCAGGACCTTCTTCTGGGTCTCCCATTTGGGTGCAGGGGCCCAAGGACTTGGACCATCTTCCACTGCTTTCCCAGGCCATGGCAGAGAGATGGATCTGAAGAGGAGCAGCCGGGTCTCGAACCAGCATCCATATGGGATACTGGCACTGCAAGCGGCAGCTTTAACCACTATACCACAGCGCCAGCTCCTGGCCCCTGTTTTAATCATTCTGTATCTCTAGTATACATTTGGATTTGTATGCTGAAAATTTTGAAACATTGCTGAAATAAATGGGAAGATATTCCATGTTCATGGATTGGAAGACTTAATATTGTTAAGATGACAGTACAGTGAACTACAAATCCAATACAATCCCTCATAAAATTCTACTGACATTTTTTGCAGAAGTGGAATAGCTAATCTTCAACTTCATATGACACTGGAAGAGGCCACAAATAGTCAATACAGTTTTATTGTTTTTTTTTTTTTTAAAGATTTGTTTATTTGAAAGGCAGAGTTACAGAGAGGCAGAGGCAGAGAGAGAGAGAGGTCTTCCCTCTACTGGTTCACTCCCCAAATGACTGCAAAGGACAGAGCTGGGCCAATCCAGAGCCAGGAGCGTATTCTGGGTCTCCCACACTGGTGCAGGGACCCAAGGACTAGGGCCATCTGATTCTGCTTTCCCAGGCCATAGCAGAGAGCTGGATCAGAAGTGGAGGAGCTGGGCCTCCACCTGGTGCCCATATAGGATGCCGGCACTGCAGACAGCAGCTTTACCCTCTACGCCATAGCACTAGCCCCCATACAGTTCTGAAAAGGAAAATCAAAGTTGGAGAACTCACACTTTCTTTTTTTCTTTTTTTTCCTTTCTTTATTTGAAAGGCAGAGTTACAGAGAGGCAGAGAGAAAGAGAGAGAGGTCTTCCATCCACTAGTTCACTCCACAAATGATCGCAATGGCTGCATCTGGCCCAATCCTAAGCCAGGAGTCAGGAGTTTCTTCCAGGTCTCCCACGTGGGTGCAAGGGCCCAAAGACTTGGACCATCTTCTGCTTTCCTAAGCCATAGCAGAGAGTTGGATCGGAAGTGGAGCAGCTGGTACTAGAACTAGCGCCCATAGGGGATGCCGGCACTGCGGGCCATGGCTTTGCCCACTACGCCACAGTGCCGGCCCCTACACTTTATTTCAATTCTTACTACTGCTGATGTGCATCTTGGGAGGCAGCAGGTGATGGCTCAGATGTGTGGATCCCTGACAGCCACGTGGGAAAGTCAGGTTGAGGCTCCTGGCTTTCGCCAGTCCTTGCCCTGGCTATTACAGATTTTGAGGGAATGAACCAATACTTGTGAGATCTCTCCAACTTTGTCTTTCTGCATTTCTGAAAAAGATATAAACTACTTTTTAATAAAAATGTTTCCTTCCCCCCTTCCACTAAAAGAAATGTCTAGAATAGGCAAATTTAGAGAGTCAGATTGTAGACTGGTGATAGTCGAGTCTCAGGGGACAAGTGAGGTTGATTAATGAGTGTGGCATTTCTGTTTGGAGTGATAAGAAATACTCTAAAATTAGCTGGTGGTAAAAATCGTAACTCTGTGAATATACTAAGAAGCACTGAATTATATATTTTAAAAAGGTGAATTTTGGGCTGGTGTTGTGATGTAGCAGGTTAAGCTGCTGCCTGCAATGTCAACATCCCTTATGGGCACCAGTTTGGATCTCTGTTCCACTTCCAATCCAGCTCCCTGCTAATGTGACCAGGAAGGCAGTGGAGGACGGCCCAAGTGTTTGAACCTCTGTACTCCCCTGGGAGACCTGGAAGAGGCTCTGGCTCCTGACTTCAGCCTGGCCCAGCCCCAACCATTGCAGCCATTTGGGGAGTGAACCAGTGATTGGAAGGTTCTTCTCTATCTCTGTCTTTCCCCCTACCCCCTGTCTCTATAACTCTGACTTTCAAATAAATAAAGAAATCTTTAAAAAAAAAAAAAAAAAAGGAAGAAGACAAAGAAGAGGGGCCACCGCTGTGGTGTAGTAGATAAAGCTACCGCCTGCAGTGCTGGCATCCCATATGGGCGCCAGTTCGAGTCCTGGCTCCTCCACTTCTGATCCAGCTCTCTGCTATGGCCTGGGAAAGCAATAGAAGATGGCCCAAGTTCTTGGACCCCTGCTTCCTCGTGGGAGACCTGGAAGAAGCTCCTGGTTCCTGGCTTTGGATTGGTGCAGCTCCAGCCATTGTGGAATGCGAATTATATCTCAATAAAACTATTTTTTTTTTTTTGTTTGACAGGCAGAGTTAGACAGTGAGAGAGAGAGAGAGAGAGAGAGAGAGAGAGAAAGGTCTTCCTTTTTCCGTTGGCTCACCCCCCAAATGGCTGCCATGGCCGGTGTGCCGTACTGATCCGAAGCCAGGAGCCAGGTGCTTCTCCTGGTCTCCCATGTGAATGCAGGGCCCAAACACTTGAGCCATCCTCCACTGCCTTCCCGGGCCACGGCAGAGAGCTGGACTGAAAGAGGTGCAACCAGGAGAATCCAGCGCCCCAACCAGGACTAGAACCCAGTGTGTAGGGTTAACTATACGATCATTAAGTACACTAAAAATAGATCATTGTAACAATTAAGAATGGGAATCTGATCATTAAGTATACTGAAATTAGATTATTGTAAAAATTAAGAATGGGAATCCGAAAGGGAGGAGGAGGAGGAAGGGTTGGAATGTGGGTGGGAGGGAGAGTAGCGGGGAAAGTCCCACTGTGTTCCTAAATCTGTATATAGGAAATATATAAAACATGTATAACTTAAATAAAATTTTAAAAAACTCTAGCAACCTAAATATCTCACAGTATGAAGCAGTTTGCATAAATTATACTATATTCATTGGGGAGTATTATATGGCCATGAAAACATGCATGCTTAAAAAGTTAACCACATGAGACACAGACATGAAAACAGAACACAAAATATATGCTGTGAACTTGACAATATGTAAAAATAAAGATTGAGAACAACAACAGAAAAAAAGCAGCCCTTTCCCCAGATGCCCTGTAGTCTGATCTGCAGAAGTCCCCTGGCTACCCCTGACGCCTCCTTTGTCTTGTTTATTTCAGGCGTTAAAGGAGATAGATGAAGTTGGGGACCTGTTGCAGTTGAAGTATTCCCGCCATCGGTTGGTACCTCTACTGGACAGGCCCTTTGATGAGACTACCTACGAAGAGTCGGAAGACTGAGCCTTTTTGGTGCTCCCTCCGAGGAACTCTCCCTCGCCCAGGACAGTGTGTGGCCTCTCTGAGCCAGCTCCAGGAACCACACTTCTGTGGCCACCTCACGTGAAAGACATTGCCTCACCTGCTGACGGTGGCTGCCTCCACTCCAAATGGCATTTTGTAAATAGTAAAAACTGCTTCCTATCCTTCCTTCGCTAAACCTCACCTTTCAAAAATGAGGTGACTCACTTGGCTCTTTTGTCCATTAAAAAATGTTTTTATTTTATAACTATTCTACTTGTGAAATCACACTGACCCTAGCCACGTAGGCCACTGCCCTCTGCAGCCCCTGTGGGTTTGGGCCCACAGAGAGCTCCTGCAGGCCCTGGTCCTGCAGCCTCAACGCACACCTGGCCCTCCTCCCTAGGGAGCAAGTGCCTTCCACTTACTTCCCATCCAGGCCTCTGAGGTTACAAACTTAGGTGTCTTGGTTTAACCAGTCAAGTCATCAACCAAAGTATTCTCCATTTTAGTCCTAAGTTTAGCCTGTTAAGAAAAACAGTAAATAACAATGCTGAAAGACTCATTATGTAATTTCCCCAGGCTTTGGTCTTGCTCCAGCAGATCATTTCTTCCTTCCCCATCAAGTACTCCAGGTGGAGGGTGTGTCCAGATTCGGGGTTCTGCTCAGGCTGTAGCCCCATACTTTGATCCCCTGTTTCAGGCATCGTGTTAAAAGCACTCGTGTTCCACTGCGGCAGGCGCTGTGCTGCAGGTGCCCCCACACCTCTGTACAAAGCTGCCATGAGGCGTGACACACGCTCCTTGGCAAAGTGAAGGGCGGGGCAGTGTGGGAAGAACCGATCACTTGTAGAACGTCTGTGCTTAGGATTTCTTACTGCTCTCTCCATTGCAAAACAGTGACAGCCTCCCGCTGGTTCTGGGTCCAAATGAGGATTTAAGCTGATAAAAGAAAATGTTGGTAAATTCTCTGCTCATAAATAATTTATCATGTTCCTGTTTAAGGATTACAATGATTAACTTAGCTCTTTTGGAAGCTGATCCACTTACGTGTTGGCCTTCTGGATGCTGGTTCTCTTATTCTTGACGTCCAAAGACAGTTTTAACCTGCACCTGTGGCTAGATTCTGCCTGTCCTTCTGGGCCTGTATTTTTTTTTCTCTGAGGAATTCTGAACACTTATCTCTGCTCAACTGGGAGAGCCCATACTTCGGCTCTGTTTTCATACTGTACCCAGGCCAGGGGACTTCTTTCAGAAAGCTTTATACTGCTTGACCAAAGAACACATCTGAAAATCACCACTTTGAGGTTCTTACTTTTTCTGTTGACCAAAGCTTAAGTGATCAAGAGAACTTCTGGCTTTATTGTACCCTAGATCAGCTTGTGTTTTAGTGGCCAAGTATTGGAGGAGATGGTTTGGGAGGATAACGGAAAGCCGTGTGTGAAAGTCACTTTCTGCGTCTGTGTTTTGGAGCCTGCCCCTTTCGTTGCTGAAGATTCCCAATGCAGGTTCTTCCGGGTGTGCTGTCCTCTTGCCGTGTGCCCACGCAGACACCCGTGAGGAAGGATGCCGGCAGTGTTAGTGACTGTCGGTGAGGTTCTGCTTTCATGTCTTGCACATAAGTTATGTCTTCGTCACTCTCGGCATCTGAGAGCTTTAAGCCTTTGAGATGGTCAGATTCTGTTTTGCTTTTTAAAGAACAGGAAGAACCAAGGAGAGACACAGGGACTATATTTAGTATGTACCAGTTAAAATAATAATAATTTTGAAAAGACTGGTGACTAAATAGCCCTAAAAGATCACATGCATTGCTAACCTTTTCCACAAGTCTGATTTCCCGCTATAGAATCCCACTGAAATGTCGGATTGCTTTTGCACAGCAGTCACTGCCTACGGTGTAGGTATAAGGTTTGCAAAAGTCACAAACTTTAAGCAGTGAACTTGCCTTCTTATTTTGACTTGCATGAAGTTACTGCAAATTAAAATGTCAGTATGGGCATTTAAAATGTATATGAATCACTTTGTTGGTGGAATTAAGTTACCAGTTTGTTTCGAAGAGACAAAACTGACCTATCCGGGACCTCTGTACTTTCAAGAGGACAATTTTTTTTTAAATACATTTTTATTTTTTTTGAAAGGCAGAGTGACAGTTGATTTGCTCCCCAGATGGCCAACAGCCAGGGCTGGGCCAGGCTGAAGCCAGGAGCCCAGAACCCCATCTGGGTCTCTCCTGTGGGTACAGGGGCGCAGGCACATTAGCAGGGAACTGGAGCAGGACGAGCACCCAGGACTCAGATTGTTGTTCCCATATAGGATGCTGGATGCTGGTATCCCAGGCAGCAGCGTAACCTGCTGTGCCACATGCCAGCCCCTAGAAGACAAAATTTTGTTTGTATTATGCATGGTTGTCTCTTCATGACACTGTAATATAAATCTGGGGTCCAGTCATATCATAGGTACCGTTGTCTAAGTTCTTAAAGAAATGCAAATATATATAAATCCAATCACTGGGAATGAATACAAATCTAGGACATGCAAGGATTATTTAGTACACAGTGTAACATGGCCTGAGATTCAAGAATCTGCTAGAATTCAAACAGGTGTCAGTTAACCATCACTCCCAGAGCTGATCATAGGAGTTAATCAATAGAAGTTGACTGATCTTACCCCTTTTCTTCATCCTTTTTTTTTAGTTTGTATTGCCTTTGTCCATTTCACGTTCATGTGACCTCTTTGAGCAAATCCCATCAGAAGCCAGGACATGTATGGCCAGGGGACATGAAAATCTCACATAGAATCACATCAAGTGGCAGCTTCTCCTATCTTTATTTTAACCTAGTAGGGTCAAAGACTCCAGGGTACTCTCTTAACTTTGCTGTGCTTTGGATTAAAAAAAAAATTATTAGAAAACGATTTTTGGCATTGTCTTAACATCTGGTGCTAGGCTGTGGATTTCAGATGGTCTGAACGAGCTTCTTCCTGTATAGTCCCTCTAGAAGGTGAACAGAGTCCTCCTGACAACCTGTGAGGCCTGCACATTTGCCTCAGCCCCCAAGGGAGGCCAAGGGATGGTACAGCGTCCCTCTGCTTTTGTCTCTGGAGTCCCTCCCTGCTAGACTTGGCCCTTCTCTCTTTCTATACCTTCCAGTTCTTGGTTTGCCGAATTCCAGCTCCAGAGAAGACTGAGCTGCGGTGGCCCAGGGCCGTGAGGATCAGTAGGTCAGCCCCGTGGCTCTGCGTGTGCATCAGCCTGACATTTCAGGAAGAAGCAGGACATGATGACTTTCCCACCTTGTGGAGCCTCTGGGTTTCTCAAGGTCTAGGTGAATTTTCTAGTGTATGATACTGTTTGCTTCCTTCCTAATAGTGAAAACCAGGAGATTTTACATGGAGAGATGTTATGATTTTTCAAAGAAGGGAAAAACTGTGACATCTACCAGCACCTCCCTGTTTTTCCTTCTTTTCCAAATTTATGAAAATCTCTGGTCTCCACTGCTGCTGGGTTGGGTAATGCTACACGCAGTGAAGGGAAAAGAATCTAGGTGATTCTTATTTTGTAGGAAGTAGTAGCCGTGTGGCAAAACCACCTGAACAAGGTTAAGTACAGTTGTACTCTTATATAACAAAATTCCTGGAACCTAATTCCCAGGGTGTCCTTGCTCTTCTAGGGTTCTAGGTAAGGCAAAATGGCTGCTGTAACTGTGTCAATAGACAAAAAGGGAGAGTAGTGGTTTTCCTTTTCTGTCTATACTCATGAAGAATTCACATAGGTAAACTCTGCTTAGCCCAAAGCAATTGTGAGAAAGGAAATACGAGAATCTAGGATTCTTTTTGGCTGCTGAGCCCAGAAGCGATAGATGTTTTTTGTCCTGCAGCAGGCCCAGAACCTGCGTTGCCTCCCTAAGATGGAAGTTCAGTGTCCATCAGGCATCTTAATCCATCAAGCCAATTAATCCAAATACCTCCACGTGGAGAAATGCATGCCCCTGTCTCTCCTTGGTGTTAGCCACGTGAAGTGTGAGCGTGGGCTCCTAGCCCACAGCTGTGTCCAGCCAGCTGCCCAGCTGGAGGCCTGGCTTCCCCCCTTAAGACACAGAAGTGAACGCTGGAGTTGCCAGCTATTGCCTTGCTTTACTAGTGTAGAAAACGCTGCTGTTCTTTTGTCATTGCCGGTGACTTCGGTTTTCCCAGCACCTTCTCCTATCGACTGTTTTCCAGGGAGGAAACCAAAGGGTCTCACAGGCCCCTAAAGCAAATGTTATTCTCATCTTTGGTGATTCTGGAGCTGTCGCATTCGCAATCCACTCTTGACAGTGGCTTGGTTGGGGGAGCTGTGGGCAAGGTTCTGTTTACTGCATAGTACGCGGGAGAGATGGCCTTAAACTGCTTCTTTCTGGAATGATGAGTTATAATTCACGGACCTGAAAGAACGCACTGGCACTTAACCTGTAGTTTACTGTGTTCTAATGAAGCAATACCCAAAGCCCGGTTCTTTGGAGCAGTAGTGGGCCAGGTGAATGAAAGGCATAGACAAGAGCGGTACCCTGGTGCTGTGCTGCCTGCGTATCCTGCCTCCTTGCTGTCTGCCCAGATGAACCAATCCCTCTGTGCGTGAGGAGTCTCGAACCAACTCCGAGTCAGCTTTTGCAACACGATTCGCAGGTTCTCCTGCAAGCTTGCTAAGAGAGTAGGGGACTGACTAGGGTGGAGCGGCAACGTGTCCTCACCCTCAACATCAGGCCTGTCACCTCAGTGACGGTAAGCCGATGGTTGGAATTCCAACAAGCATCCTGGGCGGTTCTTCCCGGGACACTGGGAAGGTCTGTGCATGCAGCCGGCACGCCCCCTGGCTTGACGTTCCCTCTCTGTAAAGGCAGCTAACGGTAGAGAAGGGGGGACTCTGAGAGAGCCCTAGCTTATGGGAGTGCTGAGATGCTTCGCTGGCCCATTTTTCCCCCACGAACCAAGTTATCTGTAAACTGGAATTTGCAAGAGGTGCTATGACTATAACTCTTTCCGTTGCTGTAATGTTCATATGATCTGAGAAAGTGAGAGAAGGAGAAGTGTAAATAAAAATTTATAAATTTTAGTAATGTGTTCAAATGTTCCTTTCTCCCTACCCCTGCCTCCCCTTTTTGCCAGGTGATGACTTTATGATTATTTTTAAATTTTTTACGTTACTGGATGACTGTGAAGCTATGAATACTGGGTTGGGTGTGGATGTGTGCATTTTGAGAGTGCATGTTTCAGAACTGAAGGGGACTATCTGAGAGAACTTTTAAGGATCATCCCATGCAAATATATTCTTTTTTGCCCTAATAAAATATTAAGAAAGATACATCTGCTTCCATTCATTCAGCCAATAAGTGTGACTCTGTGCCAATTAACAGGAACAAACAGATACAGTTTCTACTTCCCAGTGGACAGGTCAGCATATGAACACGCTGCCACCTCAGTTGCCCCTCTTCCAGGCCAGCTCTCTGCTGTGGCCAGGGAGTGCAGTGGAGGATGGCCCAAGTGCTTGGGCCCTGCACCCCATGGGAGACCAGGAGAAGCACCTGGCTCCTGCCTTTGGATCAGCGCGGTGCACCGGCCGCAGCGCGCCGGCCGCAGCGGCCATTGGAGTGTAAACCAACGGCAAAGGAAGACCTTTCTCTCTGTTTCTCTCACTGTCCACTCTGCCTGTCAAAAAAAAAAAAAAAAGAAAGAAAGAAAAAAGAAAAGTAGAGTGATAAAAGGTGGTAATCTGTATCTGGTGTGGACAGGGGTGTGGCCTTTGGGGCTGGGATCGTCATGTAGATCAACACAGTGAGATCAGAGGCCAGGAGGAGACCCGGGTCAGTTGATTTTTCAACAAACATGCCAAGGTAATTGATGGAAACTCATTGTACAAAGTGATTGTCAAAAGATAATCACAGATAAAAAAGTAACATGGTTTAAAGGTTTACTTCATTAATGAGAAAGTGATAATGATGTTAGAACCAGTTCAAAGGACATAGTGGAAAACAAATGTATGGGTCAGGAATATTAAATGTGCAAATGAAACCAAAACTTTTTTCCACACAGAGAGGGAAGTCATTTGAACTTCTACAGGATAGGACAGAATTTAATTTCTATAGACAATTATTTTGCTTTGCTGTTGGTTACCTAGAACCTACAGAGCCAGAGCTCAAAGATAATGACTAGAATCCGCTAACTTGGAAGGATGCACTGTGTATAGACAATGCAGGTTGTCACGATGCAGGTTTCATTTTAGGATTTTGTCTTACTTGTTGGAAGGGCAGAATGACAGAAAGGTTTTCCGTCTGCTGGCTCACTCCCTGGCTGGCCACAATGGCCAGGTCAGGGCCAGGCTAAAGCCAGGAGCCAGGAACGCCATCCTGGTCTCTCAGGAGAGGCACTTGCCTCTGCAGTTTGAGGAGTGGGCCAGCAGATGGAGGATACCCACAAAACTCTGTTAAATAAATAAAAAAATAAAATCTCAGAAAGCATTACTGGGGTGTGAAAATACTTTTATCCCTCTTTGCCATAAAAATCCAACCTGTAAAGAAGAGAGCTTCACATTTAGTCTGGGAGATGCCATAGGGGGTGGCCATGCTTCTTGTAGCTAGCCTGTCCTGCACCAGGGGTCTGATTAGGTAAACCCTAGGATGCTGTCAAGATCCAACTCCTTTGACCAAAGCTTGGCAACTGCATATAGTTCATCCTAGTACAAACGCTTCCCATGTGCCAGGCAGGCAGCCCCCCGCCTTGACATGACAAAAGCAGAGAGGTCACACAGCTTAGGCAGTAACATCGCCCAGTTAGTAAATGGTGGAAGGTTTCAAGCCGAGGGGGCCAGCTCCAGACCCAGGCTGCCACCCCCTGCCCGCGTGCACCATTCAGAATACGGGGGCGTCTTCAGCTAGCTGCGCTCTTGGGAACAGAAGTTCCGGAAAACCGCAGTGCCCCCAAGAGACCCCAGCAGCTTCACGCCAACGGTTGGGGGCTTCTTGCCAGTCTCTCCAACTCTTCCAGGGACCCACTGCTCCCGACGGACCTGGGTCGCGGGCACACACTCCCCGACATCCCCAGCCATGCCCCTCAAGGCTCCTTTGCCGCAGCCAAGGTTTCCTCCCAGGCCCTCAGAGTCGCCACGTGGCCTGCCCGAGCGTCTCCCGGGAGGCGGTGGGCAGTGCCACCCTAACATCCAGGACAAAACTAGGGGACACCCCGCTGCGGGGCAGGGTCGCCGCTGTCTGCCCGAGGCTTCCTGCGACTCGGCTTTCTCCCGGGTTTAACGCGCCGCGAGCACTGGGCCCGCGTAGGACCCCACGTCCCGCGGCGGCCGCGGGCAGAGCGGCTCCGAGGCCTCCTCTCCAGGCGTGAATACACCTTGGCCCAGGAACACGCAGGGGCGCGGGCGGCGACGGCGGAGTCTGCCCGACCCTCCCGGCCCCACAGGGGTCGCAGCGCGGGGGCGGCCACCTCCCCCCAAAACCGGAATTCGCTCGGGGCCGCGACGGCGACGGCCGAAGGTGTGGCAGGCGGCGAGGCTGACGCACCACAGGGAGCCGCCCGCTAGTGCCGACGGCCCCTCCGGGGAGGGCGGGGAAACAGCAGGGTGGCCGGCCCGAGAGCGCAGGGCCCGGGGCCGGGGCCGGAGAGCGCAGGGCCCGAGAGCGCAGGGCCGGAGAGCGCAGGGCCCGAGAGCGCAGGGCCGGGGAGCGCAGGGCCCGAGAGCGCAGGGCCCGAGAGCGCAGGGCCGGGGAGCGCAGGGCCCGAGAGCGCAGGGCCGGAGAGCGAAGGGCCCGGGGCCGGGGCCGGGGAGCGCAGGGCCCGAGAGCGCAGGGCCGGGGAGCGCAGGGCCCGAGAGCGCAGGGCCCGAGAGCGCAGGGCCCGGGGCCCGAGAGCGCAGGGCCGGAGAGCGAAGGGCCCGGGGCCGGGGCCGGGGAGCGCAGGGCCCGAGAGCGCAGGGCCGGGGAGCGCAGGGCCGGAGAGCGCAGGGCCCGAGAGCGCAGGGCCGGGGAGCGCAGGGCCCGAGAGCGCAGGGCCGGGGAGCGCAGGGCCCGAGAGCGCAGGGCCGGGGAGCGCAGGGCCCGAGAGCGCAGGGCCGGGGAGCGCAGGGCCCGAGAGCGCAGGGTCCGAGAGCGCAGGGCCCGAGAGCGCAGGGGCCGGGGAGCGCAGGGCCCGAGAGCGCAGGGCCCGGGGAGCGCAGGGGCCGGGGAGCGCAGGGCCTGAGAGCGCAGGGCCCGAGAGCGCAGGGCCCGGGGCCGGGCCAGAGGGCGTGCGAGCGGCGCGCGCCCGCAGCCCCCGCGTTCCTGCCCCCGAGGAGGCGCGCGCGGCTGCAGGCGGCGGGCAGAGCCGCCCCGAGGGGGGGCGATGCGACCCCTGCCGGGCCGAGCAGGGCCGCTCCTCGGCGTGCCGCTGCTGCGGGCGGCTGAGGGCTGCCCCTGAGGGAGCAGCGTGGCCCCACGCCCGACCCGGGAGCCACGCGAGGCTGACGGAGGCGAGCGGCTGGGTGCGTGCATTTCCTCCTGTGAACCGCGCGCGGACCGGAGCCGCCCCCGAGGAAGCGGGGCAGAGGCCGGGGGCTGCCCTCGGGCACTGGTGGTGGCAGGTGCATCGCCTCGCCAGGGCCCTGGCCGAGTCGTGGCGGATCAGCCGTGGAATGAATTGCACTTGCGTGCCCAGTGAGGTGGCCCGACCCTCTGCCTTGGCCCGCCTCCCTCGCCCTGATGGAACCTCACCTGCAGCCACGCTCAGAGCTGTGCGCATGAGCTCCGGGAGGAGTCTCGCAGCGGACCAGGGGACCGCGGCCCTCAGCCAGGGTCAAGCGACTCCCTGGAGCAGCCTCATAATCGGATTCAGACAAGGATGTGAGCCCCTTCCAGTGTGAATTGAGGTGAGCTCAGAAAGTGTGTGTGTGTTTAGGGGTAGTCAGCCAGGGACTTATACATTATTATCACTTGGAAAAGCGGAAGACACAGTGGGACGCTTTCCTGGTGGCCTGTGGGTGGGCCTGCCTGTACGAGCAGTGAGGTGGAAGATAGGTGTTGGCTTTGGGGAGAAACTGTGGTCGGTCTCTGGTCCCTGAGGGGTCAACAGCCCAGCCCATGGTCTGCCCCCTTGTGGCGGGGATAGGGACGACACACTCATCCCCATGGGAACAAGTCAGAGCCAGCTGGGGCGGCTTGGTGGCAGGTGGTTTCAGGTCTTGGGTTCCCCGCTGTGCTAAGCTGTTCTGGTAAGAGGCCCCGGTGGTTCTCCCGTTTTAGAGGTGTGGACACAGGCCCCAGAGGGCAAGCAGGATGCAGGAGATGGTGAGTGCCTGAGAGACAGAGAGTGGGCCCTGCGGTTGGCACCTGGACTGCTTCAGCCCTATGCAGCCAGCGGGGAGCAAAGGATCCCTGCTGTAGACAAACCCCGGGGCCCCTGGCCAGCTGCACCTCCAGGACCGTGGTGATTAAATTCATTTAGCTGGCTTGTTTCTGCTCCCTAGGCATAGGTACTTTCTATTTCAGTATTCACCACTTTATATTGTAATTATTTTTAGTATGTTTGCCAGATCTGCCCCAAAGGGGACCTGCTGCTGGATGAGTTACTTGTGAGCCACAGTCAGACCCTCAGCTCCAGTGCAGGGCCTGGCAGTCCTCGAAACTACATGAAAGCAAATTATCGCAGTGAGGGGAAAGCCAAACCTGGAGTCCAGGGCCTCGGGCTCTGTGCCCAGCGTGTCATTAACGGGGAATTCACTGGTTTGGTTCTTCAAGTTTCACAGGTGGGGCTGAGCAGCTGTGCCCCGTCCGTTGCTGCCGTCTTATGAGACTGAGTTCACGGTGTTAGCTCAGGAATCACGCCTAGAAAACGCAGCCTGGGACCTGTGTTGTGGTGCCCTGGGTTACACCGTTGCTTGTGATGCTGGCATCCCATAGGGGGGCACCGCTTCAAGTCCCTGCTGCTCCGTTTCTGATCCGCCTCCCTGCTGACACACCTGGGAAGGCGGTGGAGAGTGGCCCCAGGACTTGATTGCCTGCCACCCACGTGGGAGACCCAGGTGGAATTTTGGGCTCTTAGCTTTGGCCTGGACCAGCCCTGGCTGTTGTAGCC